CCGTCCCCCCGCAGCGCTGAAGAGCGTCCCCTTCACTGCCCGCACGGCCAAGCGGGGCTCCCGCTTCTTCTGCGACCCGTCCCACCACGACGAGTCCAGCTGTTAAGAGCCCAGGTACCACATGCATGCCTGGATCCCTCTGGATCCCACCTGGATCCCCCTGGGTTCCCCCTGACCCCGCATGCCCCCTTCTGCACGCCCCCTCCCTGCATGCTGTCACCCAGGGTGTCTGGTGTGCCCCAGGCCTTTGGATCGGGGCAGGATCGTAAATGCAAGGCTGGATCCCAGCACAGGATCCCAACACAGAGCTGGATTCCAGATCAGGATCCTAGTGCAAGGCTGGATCCCAGCACTGGACCTAGCATGGGATCCCAGTGCAAGGTTGGACCCCAGTGCAAGGCAGGATCCCAACACAGAGCTGGATCCCAGCACTGGATCCAGGCTCAGGATCCCAGTGCAAGGCTGGACCCCAGCACTGGATCCCAGTGCGAGGCTGGATTCCAGCACTGGACCCAGCATGGGATCCCAGTGCAAGGTTGGACCCCAGTGCAAGGCAGGATCCCAACACAGAGCTGGATCCCAGCACTGGATCCCAGCACAGAGCTGGATTCCAGCATAGCATCCCAGCACAGGATCCCAGCTCAGGATCCTGGTGCACAGCTGGATCCCAGCACAAAGCTGGATCCCAGTGCAAGGTGGGATCCCAGCACAGGATCCTGGTACAGGCCCCCTCCCTGCAATGCTGTCACCCAGGGTGTCTGGTGTGCCCCAGGCCTTTGGATCGGGGCAGGATCGTAAATGCAAGGCTGGATCCCAGCACAGGATCCCAACACAGAGCTGGATTCCAGATCAGGATCCTAGTGCAAGGCTGGATCCCAGCACAGGATCCCAACACAGAGCTAGATCACAGCACTGGATCCAGGCTCAGGATCCTAGTGCAAGGCTGGATCCCAGCACTGGACCCAGCATGGGATCCCAGTGCAAGGTTGGACCCCAGTGCAAGGCAGGATCCCAACACAGAGCTGGATCCCAGCACTGGATCCAGGCTCAGGATCCCAGTGCAAGGCTGGACCCCAGCACTGGATCCCAGTGCGAGGCTGGATTCCAGCACTGGACCCAGCATGGGATCCCAGTGCAAGGTTGGACCCCAGTGCAAGGCAGGATCCCAACACAGAGCTGGATCCCAGCACTGGATCCCAGCACAGAGCTGGATTCCAGCATAGCATCCCAGCACAGGATCCCAGCTCAGGATCCTGGTGCACAGCTGGATCCCAGCACAAAGCTGGATCCCAGTGCAAGGTGGGATCCCAGCACAGGATCCTGGTACAGAGCTGGATCCCAGTTCGAGGCTGGATCCCAGTACAGGATCCCAGCACAGGATCCCAGTGCAAGGCTGGATCCCAACACAGGATCCCAGTTCAAGACTGGATCCCAGCACAGGATCCTGGTGCAAGGCTGGATCCCAGCACAGGATCCCAGCATAAGGCTGGATCTGGGTGGAATGCCAGCTCCTGGCTCTGGATCCCAGTGAAATGTTTCTACCCAGCATGGAGTCCTGGCACAGGATCCCTGCCCTGGATCCTGGAGCAAGGCTGGATTCCAGCACAGCTCCTACTGCAATACTGGATCCCAGAGTGGGGTCACTGGATTCCAGGACAGGATCCCAGTGCACTGCTGGGTCTCAAGATGGGATCCCAGCACAGTACTGGATCCCAGAGTAGGGTCTTACTGCATCACTGGATCCCAGGACAGGATCCCAGTGCACTGCAGGATCTCAAGATGGGATCCCAGCACAGTACTGGATGCCAGGCTGGTATCCCAGTGCACCATGGGGTCCCAGGACAAGGTCCCAGTGCACCACTGGGTTCTGGGCCGGATCCCAGGGTGAAACTGGATCCCAAGGCAGGGTCCCAGTGCTAGACTGATGCCAGGGTATGGTCCCAGTGCCCTGCTGGAGCCCAGAGTGGGGATCCCAGTGCATTACTGGTTCCTAGGCCAGTGCCTGGAAGACACCCTGTGGTGCCTGTACTCTGGGGGGGTCACCTGAGCACCCCCTGAGGCCAGGCCAGGTGTCCCTGGCTCTGTCCCTGACTGTCTCTTCCATCCCACAGCCCGAAGGTGGATCCGCCTGTAGCCCAGCAAGGCAGAGGAGCCCGACCCGGGGGCAGGGGAGGACTGGGGCTGTCTCAGTCCCTCCTCACCCCCCTCTGCCCCCCAAGTGCCCAGCGAGGCTCCGTCCTGCCCTGACACCACGTGGAACAGGGCCAAAATGTCCCCGTGTCACCATCCTTACGGGTGACATCCCTGTGCCCGGGGAGACCCTGCACCCCCTGCCCACCCAAGGCAGAGGCCAAATCCCTCTGTGGTGGGGCCCCAGCATCAGGAGCTGACCCGTGGGGTGCTCCCTCCCCATCAGGGTCCCCTTGTCCCCGGGGGGCTCACTGCCTCAGAGCCCCCAGCCCCACTACAGGGACCAGAGGGACCCCTCCACCCCGCGCTCGACACTTTGACCACTGATGTGAACACTAAGTGCCAAAAAAAAAGGGACCAAAGCCAGGCTGGGGGGGCACCGGGAGAGGGGCAGGATGGTGCCCCCCACCCCAGGACCCCCCTGCCCTTCCCCCCACAGTGACTTTTTGTACATGTGAAATATATGGAGTCTTTTACATGGCCAGTGTCTGATTTGGGGGAACGTGGTGGGGGCACAGAGGCAGCCCAGGGGTTTGGGGACCCCCCCCAGGCTGTGGTCCTGTGGCTGGGGGGCAGGGAGGGGGCACAGAGATGTGCAGGGACCAGACATTTGGCAGAGTTTTGCAGTGCTGTTATTAAAACTGTGGGATTAAGGAGAGGCAGACCTGCTTTGGGGAGGAATTGAGAGCCCCCGCATCCCCAGCCCCACTCCAGTGTGGGGTGGTCCCAGTTCACCCCACTTTTGGACTGGGATTGGAGGCTGGGAAGGGACAGGAGGGGCAGGATGGGGCCAGGAGGGCAGAAAGGGCTCGTGGGGGTGGAATGTGGCCATGGGGGTGTGAGGGGCTGGGAAGGGCAGGATGCCACCACAGACCTTCAGCAGCAGCACGAGGTCCTGGCCTCCCTCGCTGAGCCCCACCAGCCCAGGGATTAGCCCTGAAACAGGGAATAAAAGTTTCCCCTAATCCTCTTGGGGGGATTACCAGCACTGCCACACCCAGGGTGGGATCTGGCCCAGCCTCAGCCCCCCCAGCACCGCCGCTGACCTGGGACCTTTTAATCCACCCACACGAGCCCCCTGCTCCGTCCTGGGGGACCCTTGGAGATGCTGTGGGCAAAGATGCTGCTGTCTGTCAGTCTGTCCGTCTGGCTTAGGCAAGTCCCAGCTGCCCTCAGTGACATCCAGCCACCCGAGTCCCCAGTGCTCAGGGCAGGATCCCAGTGCACATCCTGCTCTGCTCCTGAGGATCACTGGAGATGCTGCAGGCAAGGATGCTGCTGCCCGGCCATGTCCATCCGTGTTGATCCATGTCCATCTGTCCACCCACTGGGCTCACTGCTCAGTCCCTCGGTGACATCCACTCACACAAGCCCCGCGCCGTTCCACACCTTCAGAGGTGCTACAGGCAAGGACACTGCTGTCCGTCCACACCCAGCCGTCCATCTGTCCATCCACACCCAGCCGTGCCCGGCTGTCCATCTGTCCATCCGTCCATCTGTCCATCCACTGGGCTCACTGCTCAGTCCCTCGGTGACATCCACCCACACAAGCCCCCAGGTTGTCCCACACCTTCAGAGGTGCTACAGGCAAGGACACTGCTGTCCGTCCACACCCAGCCGTCCATCTGTCCATCCACACCCAGCCGTGCCCGGCTGTCCATCTGTCCATCTGTCCGTCCGTGAGGCTCCAGCTGGTCCCTACGTGCCCTCGGTGCCGCCGTCGGGCTCGGACAGGCGCCGCTCCCCCTGCGCCGCGGGCGCTGCCAGGCTCTCAGCCTGCAGCAGCAGGTTGCAGCCGAGGAAGAGGATGGCGAAGGTGACGGCGAGGCAGAGCACCAGCACCACGGCGATCTGGGCAGCCTCGCTCACCCCCGTGTCCTCGCGGGTGGCGTTCATGTCCCCCTCCTCCTCCTCGTCCTCGTCTTCCTCCCGGGAGCCAAGTGTGGCGGTGACAGACGGGAGGGTTTAAGTGATGTCAAGGACTGTCTTATCCTCCCTCCACGGCCCCCTCACGCTCCCTGGAGCTGGGTGCCCCCCCCCGGCAAGGGGCAGCAGCTTTGCTCCGCCCTAGAGCCCCCCTGGAGGGGTGCAGAGTCCTGCAAGGAAGGGGGTGTCACCCCAGCCCCCTCCCGAGGTGCCTTGGGGGGCAGTTGGGGCTCCCCATTCTGCCTGTCCCCACTGCAGCCACTCAGCCCCACAGCTCAGGGGACCCCCAGCTCAGCTCCACAGCACTGGGGTGCAATGGGGACCCCCCCCAGCTCAGCCCCATGGTGTGAGGAAGCTATGGGGACCCCCAGCTCAGCTCCACAGCTTAGGGGTGCGGTGCAGAGTCCTGCAAGGAAGGGGGTGTCACCCCAGCCCCCTCCCGAGGTGCCTTGGGGGGCAGCTGGGGCTCCCCATTCTGCCTGTCCCCACTGCAGCCACTCAGCTCCACAGCACTGGGGTGCAATGGGGACATGGCTCAGGGGACCCCCAGCTCAGCTCCACAGCACTGGGGTGCAATGGGGACCCCCCCCAGCTCAGCCCCATGGTGTGAGCGAGCTATGGGGACCCCCAGCTCAGCTCCACAGCTTAGGGGTGCAATGGGGACCCCCCCCAGCTCAGTCCCATGGTGTGAGTGTGCCATGGGGACCCCCAGCTCACCTCCATTACACCGGGGTCCCACAGCTCAGCTCCACAGCTCAGGGGTGCCATGGGGACCCCCCAGCTCAGCCCCTTGGTTTTGGATGTGATCAGGACCACCAGCTCAGCCTCAGCATCCACTGCCCCCTCCCATGGCCCCCACAGCCAGGACGTGACCAGGCTCCATATGAAAGCAGAAACTCTTTATTTTTGGGGCAGCTCTGGCCCCCCAGGGACAGCAGTGACACTGGGGACAGGTGGTGATAAGGGACAAGGCCAGCACTGGCTGTGTGGCACCAAGTGTGCTGCAGAGGGGTGGGGTGGGGTGCCACCCTGACCCCCAGCACCCTCTGCCAGGCCCCTGCTCCACTCAGGGCTGGTGCCACACGTGCCCTGAGGACTCACCCCGGTCATCAGCCAGGCCGGAGCCACTGAGCCAGTTCTCCAGGATGGACAAAACCCCACGGCACAAACCAAGGAGCAGCAACCTCCAAATTACAGGCTAGGCCAAGCCAAGCTCCTCCCAGAGGCTTTCTGCAGGTGAAGAAGGAGGGGATCCAAGCAGAGTCACTGGCCCAAAAATGCCACGGCCCACGGTGACCCTGCCTGGGTGACACCAGCCCTACAGCGCCAGCGTGTCCTTGATGAGGCGGCGCATGGTGGTGGTGACCGAGGTGCCCAGGGAGTCCGTGATCTGGTAGGAGATCTTGTACAGGTAGGGCTGCACGTCCTTCAGGCTGGTGTCAAAGACGTTGTCCACCTCGGACTGGGTGGGCATCTTGGGCAGGTACTCGTGGCGGTTCATCACCTCCACGATGTTGATGATCTTCTCACAGAGCTTCTCCCCCACCTTCTCGCGGCAGATCTGCCGCTCCTGCTCGTTGGCCAGGTTCACCACGTTCACCTTGATGGTCCACAGCTCCCAGGGGATGCACTCGTCCGAGAAGGGCCACCGGGATTTCTTCTTCTGGTAGAACTCCAGGGAGATCTGCCCCATGCCGTCGGAGCCGGAGCCGCGCAGCGCGTCCTGCAGGACAGCACGGGCTTCATGGGGGAACAGGCACTGAGCACATCCCACATCCCACTGGGTTCTACAGCACCACAGAGTATCCTCAGCTGGAAGAGACCCCCAAGGATCATCCAGGCAAACTCCTGGCCCTGCACAGGACACCCCAGCAATGCCACCACTGAGAGCGGTGTCCAAATACTCCCTGAGCTCTGGCAGCCTCGGGACCATGACCACATCCTGGGGAGCTGTTCCACTGCCAATCACCCTCTGGGGGAAGGAGCTTTTCTCAATATCCAGCCTACCTCTTCCCTGCCACAGCCCTATCCATTTCCTCAGTCCTGTCACTGTCCCAAGGAGCAAAGACTGGAGCTGTCTTAGGGACAAAGCTGAGTCTCGTCTCAGTGTCCTCCAGCTAACAGACCTAATGCCCTCATCTGCTCCTTTTAACCCACCCACACGATCCCCCTGCTCCATCCTGGGGGACCCTTGGAGACGTGTGCCTTCCCTTTAATGCCTTTTATGCTCCCCCTGACCTTGAACTCCCCGACAGCCTTGCGGAGGGCCCGGTCGAGCTCCTCGGAGGAGACGCGCACGTAGGCGAAGTCGATGAAGTCGCAGTCCACGTCCTGCGTGCCCACGGTGCCGATGGAGTAGGTGCCCTCCTTCTTGTAGTGGAACTTGCCGGTGCTGCGGTGCAGCAGGACGGTGTGCAGCACGGCCAGCATGGCCTCCTCCACCTGCCTGCCCTCCACCGACACCTCCAGCACCTCGGCGCGGCAGTTCATGGCAGGGCCGGCGCTGGCGGGGCCACAGCAGCGGCTGCTGAGGGGACACGAGGGTGGGACGGGGGTGTTGGTGGCAGCCAGGCTTGGGTGACAGCCCCTCTGCCACCCCCATGTAGGCTGGAGTCCTGGTACCCCACAGGGACCCACCCAGGTGTCCTGATTTGAGTCACCCACATGCCACAAGGACCCAGGCACCCTTGGTATAGATCCCCCCCATAGCCCCACAGAGACCAAATGTCCTGATTTGAGTCCCCCACATGCCAAAAGGATCCAGGCACCTTTGCTATAGACCCCCCGTAACCCCCACAGAGACCAAATGTCCTGATTTGAGTCCCCCACATGCCACAAGAATCCAGACATCCTTGCTGTAGACCACCCCCAAAGCCCAACAGAGACCCAGATGTCCTGATCTGAGTCCCCCACATGCTACAAGGATCCAGACACCCTCAGTATAGACCCCCCCACAGCCTCACAGTGACCCAGATGTCCTGATTTGAGTGCCCCACATGCCAGAAGGACCCAGGCACCCTTGGTATAGATCCCCCATAGCCTTACAGAGACCCAGATGTCCTGATTTGAGTGCCCCACATGCCAGAAGGACCCAGGCACCCTTGGTATAGATCCCCCCCATAGCCCCACAGAGACCAAATGTCCTGATTTGAGTGCCCCACATGCCAAGAATCCAGACACTCTCAGTATAGATCCCCCATAGCCTCACAGTAACCCAGATATCCTGATTTGAGTCCCCCACATGCCACAAGAATCCAGACACTCTCAGTATAGATCCCCCATAGCCTTACAGAGACCCAGATGTCCTGATTTGAGTGCCCCACATGCCAGAAGGACCCAGGCACCCTTGCTATAGACCCCCCCATAGCCTCACAGTAACCCAGATATCCTGATTTGAGTGCCCCACATGCCACAAGAATCCAGACACTCTCAGTATAGATGCCCCATAGCCTCACAGAGATGGGGTTGGTTGAAATCCCTCACATCCCACAGACACGGGCCCTCCCCCACACCTCGCAGAAGCTCAGGGGGTTCAGGACTGGGTGCCCCAAAGGGATTCAGGTGTCCCAGGATGGGTGAGACCCCTCCACAGTGACCCAAATATCCCGGTCACTGTCCCAGTGTGGGCCCCGTGGTCCCAGTACCCCCCTCAATATCCCACAGGGACCCAAATGTCCTGGCTTGAGCCTCTAACAACCCAGAGAAACCTGAGCTGGTGCCCTCACCCCCCAGCCGCCAGCACTCAGGGACGCCAGGAGTCCTGCTACGGGCTCCGCAACACCCCAGAGCGGCAAATGCCCTGGTCAGGTCCCCTCAGGGATCCAACACCCCTGAGGGACCCGGCTGTCCCGCTAGGGGCCCACCCCCACCCCACAGGGCCCCCAAAAACACCGCACAGGTCCGGACGTCCCGGCCCGAGCCCACCTCGCTCTCCCACGGGGCGCCTCAGGATCCCTCCAGGCTCGAGACTCCAGATCCCCCTCGGCCCCTGGGCCCCCTCAGCCCCGGCCCCGGATCCTCCTCGGTCCCTGGTTCCCCCCAGCCCCGGCCCCGGACCCCCCTCAGCCCCGGTGCCGGCCCCAGTCCGCACTCACCGCCCGGGCCCGACCATCTGACGGCACGGAGGAGGGAAGTGGATCATCCCACCTGCGCGGGGGGTTCAGGACACACCACCGGCCACCCTAGCGGCTATTCCGGCCATGACCACTGTGTTTCATCACTCTGAACTTGATTCCGTTATCATTTTGCCTCTTCGGTGCCGTTCCCGGCCGCGCAGTGCCACTGAGGGTGGATTCGCCGTTCCGAGTCCGTGGATTCCCCTCTTCCCTACTTGGTTGGTTCCAAAGCATCATAGAGCTGCAGCGCCGCAGCCCAGAGCGGCTCAGAGGGTGCATTGCGCCCCCTGTGCTGGAGGCTCCGCGGCGGTACTGCAGCTGTCCCCCGCTGACCCCGGCGGGGACACGGCGACAACGGGGGGACACGCCTGGGGACACGGGACACAGCGGCACGGACCCGTGGGGACCGCAGGGGCACGGGGGACACCTGGATATGAAGGGACACAAGGAGCAGGGCCGTGGGGAAATAAAGAAGAGGGGACACAGGGACAGATGGACACAAGGGACAGCGTGACACAGGGATATGGGGACACTGGGGATAAAGGGACATGAAGACTAGGGGGACAAAGGGATATGGGGATAGGGATGGAGATGGGAGACGCCTGGATATGGGGACACGGGCACAGGGGACCAGGGACGTGGGGACTTGGGGGACGCAGGAACAGGGGATGGATGGACATGGGGACACAGGGAACGGGGACATGGGCGTTTGGGGCACTGATCGGCCACGCTGCCATGGGGACACACGGCGTGGTGCCCGTCGCAGCTGGAATGGCGGCGTGTCACCGTGCGGTGAGCCGGGCACACACCGACACAGCCGCGGGACCACCGGCGTGGCCGGAGCTGCCCACGGAGCTGCTTTTCCTCAGCCCTGCCGGTACCGTGCCCGTCCCTCCTGCAGCAGCCCGTGCCGAGGGAACGGGGACAGCGACGGGGACAAGGTGGCAGAGGGCAGCCCTGAGCTGTGGGAGGGGACAGCGCCGTGCCAGTGCCAACCCCGTGCCCACCGTGCCCGCTGTGCCCAGCTCCGCTGTTCCCCGCCCCGATTCCCGTTCGCGGCCCCGCCGTGCGTCAGCGCTGTCCCCGCGGCGGGGGCGGCGCGGGGGGGACAGAGGGACCCTTGTTGTGTGTCACCGCAGCGCCCCCGGGCCCGCGCCTCAATGTGGCCCTTGTTCCGGTGTCCCCGTTAACGCTGGCCCCGGGGCCGGGCTGTCCCCAGCAGGAGGAAGGCGACAAGCCGGGGGACACATCAGCCACGCGTGCCACCCCCCATCCCGGCCTCGGACCCCCTGCTCTGTCCCCAGCTCCTGAGCTCGGGACCCCAAACGCCGCCGCCCCCCCGCCAGGGCTGGCCCTGCCAGCGGCCACGTCCCCAGGAACACGAGCGGGGGACACGGTCACGCTTCCCGGTTATTTTGGGGAGGATAAATCAGGCGGGCGACAGGTGCGGGGGTGAGTGACGGTTCAAGGGCAGCGGCGTGGGCAACGTGCGGCACCGGAGCCGCGGCTGTCCCGGCTCCTGAGCCCCGGCTGTCCCCGGTTTTGGCATCCCGGCTGTCCCCGGCTGTCCCCGGTTTTGGCATCCCGGCTGTCCCCGGCTGTCCCCGGTTTTGGCATCCCGGCTCTCCCCTGCTCCGGAGCCCCGGCTGTCCCCAGTTTTGGTACCCCGGCTGTCCCCGGTTTTGGCATCCCCGCTGTCCCCGGCTGTCCCCGGCTCCCGAGCCCCATCTGTCCCCAGATCCACCGGCCCGCCTGTCCCCAGCTCTGGCATCGCTGCTGCGGAGCCTCAGCTGTCCCCGGCTCCATCGCCCCGCCTGTCCCATCTCCAGCGCGCTGGTTTTTCCCCGGCTCCAGCGCCTTGTTTTTACCCAGCCCAAGTGTCCCAGCTGTCCCCAGCTCTGACATCTACACTGTCCAAGCCTCGGCTGTCCCCAGCTCCGGTCCCCAGCTCTGACTGTCCCCAGCTCCCGTGTCCTGTTTTTTCCCTCCGGCTCCCCCTCCACGGTGTCCTGGCTGCCCCCAGCTCCAACATCCCGTTTTTCCCCCTCTCCAGCGTCCCAGCTGTCCCCAGCCCCGCTCTCTGTCCCCCCTTCCCAATCCCCGAATTTAAACTAAAGGGGAACACAAGGGACAAAGGTCCCGCCCGGTGTCTCTCACTGTACGTACAAGTTTATATACAGAAAATGGCCAAAAAGAGGGAAACCCAGAAAAATATATATAAAGGGGAAGGGGCCGAGGCTGAGGGGGCCGGAGCCACCCCCCGCCCGCGCCCCCCGCTCTGTACAGGACCCGGCCGGCGCTATTTACATCAGGGGCGTTTTTACAGGGGAAGAGGGCACCGCGCCGGCGATGCCCCCGGGGAAGACGGCACCAGGGCTGCTGGGGGGCCACGCCCTGGGCCGTGAAGGCACGTGGGGCACCCCCAAGGGTGGCCCCAAGAAGACTCAGGCATCTGAGATATCCTGGGAGTGATCCAGGGGGTCCCAGGCATCCATGGGGTGATGCAAGGGTGGTCCCAGGCATCCCAGGAGCGATCTAGGGGTGCCCAGGGGGTCCCAGGCATGCTGTGGATGACCCGGGGTGGGGTTCCAGGTGTTCTGGGGGTGATCCAGGGGTATACATAGAGCTTGGGAATGGCCCGGGAAGGGGGGTCCCAGGTGTCCCAGAGGTCATTCAGGAGTCCACAGGGATGTCCTGGGCATGCCAGAACTGATCCAGGAGTGACCAGGGCAGGTTCCAGGCATCCTGGGAGTGATCCAGGGATGCCCAGGTGGTTTTTGGGCATTCTGAGGGTCACCCAGGGGGGGTCCCAAACATCCCAGGGCTGATCTAGGGTACCCAGGGGATGTTCCAGGCATCCCAGGGGTGACCCAGGGGTGCCCAGGGGGTTCCCGGGCATCCTTGGGCTGAGCCAGGATTGCCCAGGGCGGGTCCCAGATGTCCCCAGGCAGGTCAGGGGCTCATGGCAGCCCCTTGCCCGGGACTCAGAAAGGCAGAGTGTCCATGAAGATCTTGTCGACGATGGGTGGCGGCGGCACCAGATCCTCCAGCTTGAGGTAGAAAATGCGCTGGAGGCCCTGGGTGCAGAGGCTGCGCAGCTCGGGCAGCTTCCCCAGCAGCTTGGAGAGGCAGCTGGAGCGGCCGGGCTCAGCCCCCGCGGCCGCCACGTGGTCCTTGAGGCAGCCCACGATGCGGTTCTGCAGCTCCTCCACCCGCTTCGGCTCCTTCAGCCCGTGCCGGTCTGCGGGTGACACACAGCCCGTGGGACCGCGGGGACAGACACCAGGTGGCGACGGGGACAGCGGCAAGCCCGGAGCTGGGCGGGACTCACCTGTGATGATGACGAGGGCGGCGAGGCAGGAGAAGGAGGGGACATCGACGCTCATGCGGTGCAGGCTCTGGGAGAACTCGAGGATGGCGTCGATCCACTCCCCGAAGCCGCGCACGCACTGCTGCCGGTGCAGCACCACGCCGTTGCAGAAGATGAGTTTCCCTTCCTCCGGCTTGGAGCTGCCGGCAGAAATCCAGGCGTCACCCCCGGGCACAGCTGGGGCTCCCCCTGCCCCGCGCTGCCCCGGGGCTCACCGGTATGCCAGGCGAAGGATAAAGAGCTCCAGGAAGGCTGACTCCAGCAGAAGGTCCTGGTCCTCCTTGGGCAGCTCGGTGAAGCCCTGGATCTTCTCGGCCCACTTGCGGATGACGTCCATGGAGCCGGTGAGCAGGTCATAGAACTGCTGCACGTCCACGGAGTCCTCCTTCTCAAACGGGCACGGCGCCGACTCCTGGAACTGCGAGGGGATGGGTCAGAGCTGGGATGGGGCAGGATTGGGATGGAGATGGGGCAGGATTGGGATGGGATGGGGCAGGGCTGGGATGGGATGGGGCAGGATTGGGGTGGGATGGGTCAGGATTGGGATGGAATGGGGCAGGGCTGGGATGGGGGATGGGTGAGGATTGGGACAGGAATGGGGATGGGTGAGGAACTGGGATGGGTCAGGACTGGGATGGGGATGGGTCAGGTTTGGGATGGGGATGGCTGAAGAACTGGGATGGAGATGGGTCAGGAGTGGGATGGGGATAGGGATAGGGATGGGGATGGGGATGGGTAAGGATTGGGACAGGAATGGGATGGGTGAGGAACTGGGATGGGTCAGGACTGGGATGGGGATGGGAACAGGTCAGGATTGGGATTGGGATGGGGATGGGTCAAGGTTGGGATGAGAACAGGTCAGGAAATGGAATGGGTCAGGACCTGGGACAGGGGGTGGATCAGGAATTGGGATGGGAATGGGATCAGGACCTAGGATGAAGATGGGTGAGGAACTGGGTGGGAATTGGATAAGGATCTGGGATGGCGACAGGTCAGGAACTGTTGGGTTAGCAACAGGGATGAGTTTGGATGGGGAACCTGGATGGGGACAGGATCAGGACCTGGGATGGGGATGGGAGAGGAATTGGGATGGGGACAGCATCAGGATTTGGGTTGGGGACAGCATCAGGATTTGGGATGGGGATGGGTGAGGAACTGGGACAGGGATGGCTCAGGATCCAGCCCCAGCCCTGGCATGGCCCTCCAGGAGTGGCACCAGCCCTACCTTGGAGTAGTCGAGCTTGGTGGCACTGGGGATGGAGTCAATGTGTGCCCGCACCAGCGAGGTGATGAGGCTGACTGGGGACGCATCCGGTGGCTGCTTGGGCTTGGAGGGGAGACGGCCCCGCCGCCCCTTCAGGCTGTCGGTCCGGACCACTGTGGGTGGGGCTTGCAGTGAGTGCCTGTCCTCAGGGCAGCCAGAACGGCTGCAGAGAGGGCACTGCTGGGTACCCCCACCCGGGACGGGACCCTGGTACCTTCTTTGACCATGCCGACGGCCAGGCACTTCTGGAAGCGGCAGAACTGGCAGCGGTTCCTGCGCCGCTTGTCCACAGGGCAGTCCTTGTTGGCCAGGCAGATGTACTTGGCATTCTTCTGCACTGTGCGCTGCGGGTGGGGAAGGAGCGGCCGAGCTCAGCCCGGGGCGCCGAGCTCCGAACAAAAGCCCTTCTGTCCTCCCCTGCCTCCCTCTCCAGCCCAGCATCCGGCTCCGCGTCCGTGGGGAGGGCTCCGCGGCCGTGCCCCCTGCCCTGCCCCTCCCCGGGGCACCCCGCAGCATCCTCCTGCCGCCGCAAAGCGCTGTGGGAACATCCCGGCAGCAGCGGCCAGCCCGGGGGTCCCCTTACCTTGAAGAAGCCCTTGCAGCCCTCGCAGGTGCGCACGCCGTAGTGCTGGCACGACGCGTTGTCCCCGCAGACGGCGCAGCGGCCCTCACCTGCCCCGGGGCTGCGCAC